ATATATACGTATATACAGTATGTGATATCGGTCAAAAATGAAATCAGCAGGTCAGAAAACTGCAATCTGTGCATCCATAATGAACTATGTTTGTCTCGCCAATGTTGTCACCGGTGTAACACTTACAGTGAATCAGATTGTTCTAATTTAATCATGTATCAAACTGATCTGTCAGGAGGCAGCTGATTTTATTCCTTCTCTCAGGGTTCTAGTCCAACTTCTATTGCTTCACTTAAAACTTTTCTCTTTTGAACCAAAAATTATGCTGAGTCAGGCTTGATTTTTAGTAATCTTTTCCTGTTAAATCAATAAATCAAATCAAAATCAAAAATAGAAATGAGCTTCAGATCTGTGCTTCCACTATTGACCTTATGCTGCTCCTCCCACTCTGCTTCTTTCAGTTTAAGTGCGCCAGTCACCGACAGACAAAGTTGTAAAGAAAAATGAGCATTTGGCAGCCAGACTGCAACAATCAGCTGGTGTTATACATCTATCAGTCATCAGTTAACTGGGGAAAATGTCTGAGATCAGTTCTGACGATATCATGGTTCCACTGCCATCTCACCATGTAGAAGTAATGAAAGAACACATGAATTTGTGGATGTTGAATCTTATTTACTGTCAGTAATCAGTTTTGTTCTGTAAGCAGACATGTCAACATACATCAAATMAAAACTTTGTGACAAAATGAGAAGTTTTTAACTCCGGAAACACTCGGAAAAAACTCTAGATTTTTGTTTTCAACAATGAACAAGATTTAAGTTAGATTTAGAATTATTTTGTGCAATAATCTTTTGGCACACAGAAACAGAACAATAGAAGCATATTAGTACATTTGCAGCAAAAATGATKGGTACAAAAATGGTCAGTTGTGACCCTGGTAGCAGTGAAGAAAAGCACAGATAGTGCCGACAATGGTTAGTAGAAAACAAATCCAATGAGAAGAAAACCAAGATGAGGAGAGAATAATAAACCCACATCTGATGGAAAGTGCCAAAGGACACACGGTTAATGAAAATGTAAAACGTTTTTCACATTTTTTCTACAGTTATACATGTGTTCAGTGKTTTTTTTCTTTTCTTTTAAAACAGTTATAGGCCTTGAAGGAAGCAAAGCTAATAGAAGGACGTGTGCAACTAGCCTGTGTGCCTGCCAGTCAGACAGTGCATTTTTGTTCACCTTTGATTTGTATATGTGCTTTCGGTGACGCTCCAACAATCAGTAATTACTGCCAAGCGTAGACTTTGATGCACCCGGATATGTAGCCTACGCAGAGGCTGAAATGGAAGCAGGGGTCAAACTGATAAAAAGGAAAATGCGTTCAAACTGGAGAGTGAGGATCAAATGGAGCACAGTGTCCACTTTACTTAAATGGCCGGTCACAGTTTTGTTATTTGTAAAACGATTTAATCTGGATACATTTAGGACGCACCGCAGACACAAACACGCAAAACCTCTTGGTACAGTACACTCGGTTGTATAGATTTCCCTGAAGATCCCTTAATTCAACCGCTTCACTTTTAATTGGACTGTGCTTTGTCCTGCCCCATTTCTCAGCATCCCACTTAACACAGGGATGGATCAGCCATATCAGCAATATCCAGCAAAGGTCACACAGTCACACACAAGCATATCAATAAAAACACAAAACAAACACACACACACACACACACACACTCGTGCCCTTTTAGCCTCACCGTACACACTCCCTTGTACCCTATGCATTCCACAATCAATTTCCTGTTTTTAGTATTATTAGTTGAACGCGTTGCATTCCATTACTTGCTGACGTTAATTATGTGAGTTTTATGGATTAGTACCACGGCACACTGGGAAGCCAATATTTAATTTCCTGTGTGGTATCAGTGCACTGTACTGACTACCAGTGATGAGACRTTTAAACGCTGTTGCAGATCAGCAAAGACAAGCAATGAGCCTGAAATGGGAGGGAAATAAAACGAGGTCACAAACGGAGGCTAAAACAAAACAAAGTCCCTCACAGGTTTGAAACGACTGGTTAATTGTGTTTCYACCATCTGAAAACTGCTCACGTTAACAGTTTTGCAATTTGCTCAGAACTTTGACACAGTTGACTGATTCTGAAGCAGAGATTGTGCTGAAGTTTTGAAAAGCCTTGAAGCCAGTTTCCATTTTCAGATTTAGAAACACTATCTCCAAACCCATCTTATTCCTGTCTGAGTAGTTTGGGGCTGGATCTGTTTCCAGGTATAAATCCTGGATAGATCACCGGTATATTGCACTCATTTTTCACGGTCACTTTAACATCACTAATTACGTAATGTTAATGTCCTTGAACTGTGGGAGTAGCCCAAAATCTTTGGATGAAAACACAAACTAAATGCACAAAAACTGGGATAACAAAGATATGAATTGTAGAGCAACTAATTGCTAAATGAGCAGGGTGCACTGGTTAAAAAAAAAAGAAAGAAAATAAAAAAAACTTGTTTTCCTTCATGCATCACTTATAAGTCAATATAAACCCAAACCATTGTTTAAAACATATTTTAGGACACTGGAAACATGCCACCAGTTGCAGATGTTCATCCAGTGATAACTGCAGGGGTTCTTCAAATATTTTGCCAATGCTATATGAACACACATGTTGGTTTTTCTACCCTCATGGGGACTTTGCATTGACTTTCATTTATTTTCCAGTCCAACTTTATTTGTAAAGCACTTTTTGCACCACAGCAGACCAAAGTGCTGTACGGAATCAACATTCAAACAGCTCATGCAAAAAAACAAATTAAATAAAAAAAACAAAACAAAATACAGGAAAAATAAATAAGTAAAATGCCTAATTTAAAAACTAAAATAAAATCAAGAAAATTACTACAAAAAATAAAGTCTGGTACAAATGGACAACACAACCCCTTACACCAGGGCTTTTCAACTGGCGGCTTGCGACCAAAGTTCGGCCCGCCAATTGGTTCCTTCATCTCTTAAGCCCAAACCCCCGGTTTTCTACTTTTATTACTCTAAGTTCTTTTAGTTAAATATAGACATGTTTGGTATCTACAGAAACATCGGAATGTTGGCTAAAAGCTAGTAAAAACATTTCTAGGAAAACTCAAGACAGTTAAAATCACAAGAAGATAAAACTATGAAAGTGAAAATAAAATTGGTTTAAAATTTGGCAAGTCAGAGATGTCAAAATAAGATTTGTGTTAAATAGGAGGCGTAATGTGTTACTTTTTGTTTATATTGTTTAATTATCACTACTTTTATAGGATATGTTGTATTAATGATTTAAGACAGCAAAACAAACTGCTGGATGTTTGGCCCCTGAGCTGTTGACCTGCAGTAACTGTGTGTCCACTGTCTCTCCAATGATCATTTACTTATTTCATTCCCTCATTGCTTACAAGCATATATTTATATTCTCTGTCTGTGTTCTGTGGTGCATAATACTCAATAAACTCTTTACCTCATAGTCTAAATCAAGATGATCAAACTCTCCATTGGTCCTGAAGTGCTGAGTGTGTCCATCCAAGGTGAAGTTGACGTTGCGACGGTAGCGTTCAATCATCACTAAGTGCCAGTGGTTGTCATCCAAAAGACTGCCGGTGGTCACAGAGGTATGTCCCAGAATGGAGCCGTACTGGTTACTGCCTGTAACAAACATTTACGTATATGAGTTACAAGATCTCCCCTGGAGGACTATGACAGTGGGCTGGTTGGTGATTAGAACCCAAGAATGTAGGCAGCATGGTGGGCAGACAAATATTTCAGAAGGTATTTAACAAAGTTAAAAAGACCCCAACAAGGGCAGATGTAGCCAAAACTGGGGCTGAGACAAGACAGGAGTTATGTAGAATTTGCAAACGTTACATGATCAAAAAGTTGTTGTTTCATAAAATAGAATAAAACTTATTTAAAATATGAAAACTGATAGTTTTAAAAACTCTGATGGCTCAGATTGTTGTTTTGCCCTCAATACTTACACTACCTTTTGTCYATTGGCAACAAATGATGCTTCACATTTCCATGTCTTGTTTTAGTTTGGTTGTACATTAACTTCACCGGAACTCAAACAGTATAAAAATGTCTAAAAGCAGAATTACTGTTGATTCTCTCCACACAGCCGTAGTTATTTTTGTTTTTTAATGAAGCGGTTTGACAATCTTTAGTTTTCTGAGTAAGTGACACACATTTGCTGCTCACCCAGGTTTATCTGTAGTTGTAACTTGGCCATGCGAAGTTCCAGGGTGATGTAGTCTCCCTGCTGGCCCTCCCCGTGGAGAATGACGCCCTCACTTTCTGATGTCTTGAACCTCAGGGCGATCACGTCCTTAATGATCTTCATCTTCTTAACCTGCACAAATATTACCACCACCATCCCTCCAAGGTTATTTACAATCCATGCCGCACATTATGAAGTGAAACATTTGATGTACTTTGAATGATTAAATTTTTTTTTGCATGAGATCAAACTACTGTATGCATTTTGAAAGAAAAATATTGGGAATAGGAAAGAAAATCTGTACCTTAAAACGATATGAGATGACCCCCTGCCCGTCAAAGTTGATGACGTCTGCCCCTGCATGAGAGGGCAGCAGACACACGATTAGAGTAAATTAAAAAATATTGATTGCAGATCGTAATCACACAATATGCATGAACACRCACACAAACACACAAATTAATGAGCCAAGATTTTACTGTTAATTTATTTACAAGCTTTAAAAATGTTGTGGGTGTAGACAAAAGCAAAAACTGAAATTTACAGATGATTACCTCCTTACATTGACCTATACTTGTGAATTTATAGAAGAAAAACAACATCGTAAATCCCATTAGAATATTTCGAATGAAAGACTAGACCTCCGTTAAAGGAATTTATATCGAGAGTTGCATTTAGTAATACCAGAGTTTTAGTGTATCTTTTGTCTTTGAAGTTACCTTGAACATAACATAATTTGATATGATAATATGAGATGCCACGCTCAGATTGTGGACTGTATTGCATTTGTACATACTTTACTCTAAGTTTAACATGAACTTAACTAAATGTGAAAACTGATGGATTTCACTTTCTTCAGATATTACGTCTCTACTTGTAGATGTTGGCTTTTTATCTCACTGCTCTAAATTACAAGGACACTTTAAAATAGCAATGTGATTGATATTCCCCAATGTCTGTGTGATCTAAATACTGTAGGGTGGTTGGGTATTTGCCATAGACCAGAATAGTTGAGCTTAAACAAGAGACCACGACTGGGTCCTCAGAGGAGATATAAAACGTGGTGCATGAGACACGTTCTTTCTATCTCCACTCTAAGTTTTCAAGTGGTTTATGGCAAGAACGGTTGTGCGTCTGTGTGATATGATAGGTTGGAGATGGTGGAGGGAGTGTGTACAGGACATGATAGTATAACACAGCTTGAGAAAGATTTGATCATTATAGACACATTTCCACTCATGCTGCTCTCAATCAAGAAACTCTGGTTCTTGATTTTTCACTTATATAAAACCCGAGTACACTAAGCATGACTGATAAACATCCTCCAGCAAATCAAAAACCATGTCTCTTTTGATTTTTATTCACTTCTGTTACTCCCTTCTGTATTATTATCATTATTATATATATATCATCATTATTATTATTACCTTCTTATTTTTGTTCTCTAACTAGTTTCCATTCTAGCTTCTGTCCCTTCATTTACGGTTTTTTTTGGTACAGACAGTGGCAGTACCTTCCAATCATTATATGATAATACAGATATGATTGTGCAGAAAAGGAACTTCATTTTTTTGATGTCATATATAT